AAATCAATTGTCTCTTCTCTTGCTGAAAATGAAAAGAATGTGTGAACATTAGACGTCATAATGTCTTTTTTTTTTTTTTAATACGATTAGATGTATCCTTAAATTTTGTTTACGGTCAAGTCTTCATTTCGAACAATTTTAAGGGATATCGACTTAATGCATTTAAGATTTCTATTGAAGTGCTCCTCGTATGAATTAAACCATAGTTAGCAAGAAAAAAAAGAGTTCCCTTCTTTAGCAATTAGACTAATCCTTTTGGGTTGCCAAATGAAGATTAACAAGCCACAAAAGTATAATGTCTCAACTTTTTTGCTTAATGACTAAGGATTTTTTAAGAAGATATATTTTGTGTATGCATATGACAAAAAAAAAAAAAAAAAAAACTCGTACAACCATTGTCACTATTTTGCACTTCTTTAGATGTTGAATTGACCCATGGATGTCGAAGTCGCAAGAAATGCACGTTTAAAGTTCCATAAATTATTAATGAATATGAAAATCAATTCAGCAAATTCCTTTGTATATATAGGATTAGGGAACAAGGGCAGCGTACCCCATGGATTGTCAGCTAGAGCGAAACAATGGCTGTTAAATTTTGGTCGTCCATGCGCGACACGCACTGCATTCATGAGTAAATTTGCATGTGTGTATCGCGCATGGACAATCTAAATTAACAACTCATCAGCAAGCTTAGGAATGAATCTAATGGAAATTTAGATCTCTGTCTGCTTGGAAGATTCTTCTTTCCTCTTCGGTGAAAGAGGGCAAGGGTGTGTGGGAGCTAAAAGGGGAGAAGATCTCGTCCACCAAGCGGGAACAGAGTGCGACCCCTAAGCAATTGGAGGTTCTCGCTCATCTCTTGGGGGTCCATATCATCTGAAAACTTGTCCTGTTCCATTAGCATAGCTAAATTTGAATAGGATGACTCAGCGTCAGGAAAAGTAAGCCCCCCTTTGCCTTGATTGAATTTGGCTTCGCTGCGCCCTGAATCAATCAAAAAGCTTATACTTTCTTTTCTTCATCCCATTTCATTTGGGCGAGGGGGAGGCTGTGAGTCACCTGGGCTATTTGTCGGTTGGTTGATTCTCGAAATCACCTCTTGAAAAAAAAAAGGCCCTCGGGTCCCGACCCACAAATGAATAGGAAGCGAGGCGAGGGTCTCTCATTAAAGGGGCAAAAGAGGGTTGGTTGGCTTTGTCCTTGTTTTGGGGGGTGGGGGGGTTGGGGCCTCTTTCGCAGCTTTAGAAAGGAGAGAATTGTTGAGAGTCACTCTCTCCAACCTTTTCTATCTTTATTTAAGAAACGAGAAAATTTTACATTAAGCTTGATATCTAAAATTCGTAAAATTTTTTATTAAAAATTTAAAAATCTCATCATATAAATTAAATATAAAAATTTAAAAACATTTTAATATATTATTAAATAGATATTTTTAATAAAAATATTAACAAAATTTTTGTTATGTAATAAGTATCAATTAAATTTAAATTATAAATAATATTTTTAATAATTTTTTATATATTATTAATTTTTATATTACATTTTATTAATTTATCAATTTAAATTTTTTATTAAATTATTTAAAATTTTTTTACAAATTTCGTCTAAATAACTTCCCATAAAATTTGTGACTTCAAAAATAGAAATAGGACGGAGAGAAAGTCAATAGATATTTGCGTTGGTATTTTCCAAATGAAACTAATAACTTTTTTCTTTTTTTGGTTAGGAAGGCTCAGTCCCACACTCTGACTTCACTGATGGAAACAACCTCTGCGCTCCAATGAACAACAGTTCCCCGTCTAACTGTATTTGGAATAGGGGGAATGGGGGAATGCCAAATGCACTCACCTTTGTCAGCCGCTTTTAGCACCCGTTCTCTCAAAAAGTCACGTTATGGTACTGTTTTAAGTTACAACCGGAAACTTTGTACAGCACGTTGTTAACTTGCCAAATAATATTTACCCTTGTGTCAATGAAAATATAATATAGTATAAAGACAAAACCATGTAAAAGGTAGCTGTGTAGGATAAATAAAGAGAAATTTTTTCTTCTTGTATTTAGAGACAACATATATATAATTTTTTTTCCTTTTATCGTATGTAATTTTTATTGGCATATCTCCTTTTCATTTTATGCAAATTTCATTATAAATTCATTTTTTATTTAATTGAGTAATTGCGTTATAAGGATTAAATAGTTCGCTAACAGTAATAGATTTAAAATTTTTTTTTAGAGATATCAACTTATAATATATACAAATTATGAATAAAAAATTTAAATAATGTATTGATATATTATCATAAATATGGACAAAGAGATCTCATATCTTAAAAAAATAAAATTACATCATTGTTAATACTATCAAAATTTTTTTTTTTATATATCTAACTAAATAATCATTTAACCAAAAATAAAAATTTTAATATGCGAATCACTCTAAGTTACGATATTTACTAAAGAACTACTAACAAATTTATTAATTCTATTGATAAAAAAGTGTACATGAGAAAATTTTCCTTCAAAATTTGTTATTTTCAAAATTTTGTAGGGTTTATGGAAACCCTACCTTAGGCCATGGATCCACCTTGTTCACTTGTAAGATTTAGATTTAATTTTCAATTAAAATCTCTTGGTGATCGATTTGTAAATTTAACGCAAGTTGTTATTGAGATTTGAAGCATGCTCTAACACTAAAATGAGATTGCCTCCCATCACTTAAACCATTTTGTATAAAAATATATTATTTAAACAATTCACTTTTACTTTTTTCATATTGATATGTTATTTTGGTGTAAAATTTAAATATTAATTTATCTTTAATTTTTTCATATTTATATATATGATTTCAATATAAACCTGATTAGAGTTTTTTTAATATTTTTTAAAGAGATATCTGTTTATATATCAACTTGTTTATATAATGTATTATTTATGTGTATAATATACAATAATAACAAAAAATTTTAAGGTAAAAATATATTTTCGAAATTATTCGTGATATTTTTTTCTGTCTCATAAATATTATCCTAGTTTAATCTTATTTAGTCAAATTTTTATTTTTAGATATGTCATAAGTATATATTTAAAAAATTAAAAATTAAAAATATATTATATTTTAAAATTTTAATTAATATTACTTTATAAACAAATGTCAAACTTAAAAAGATTGACTAAAGAATTTAAATTAAAATACTAATAAAGAGGCAACGTAATTTTTTATAAATTATTATTCGATACACTATTAATAAAGTTTTTTAATTTTACAAGTGAGATTAAGAAATTAATACATATTCTTTTTTTAATCAGTGTTTCTATTTTTAATATATTTGAATGGATATGTATCATCCTACTAACTTCGCTTATAAAATCTAAAATATTCTATTATCAATGTATTAAATAATTTTCTAATATTTTAATATCAACATTAAGTTAAAAGCAAAACTAGCTTTGACAATGGCAAAATACTTTATAATTTTAATTATTATTTCAACTTTCTTATTTTATATTCATATTACTTTAGTTGATTTCTTATTCAAAGATATTTTATCTAGCTAAACAAAAAATATTATGCAAAAAATTATATATAAATGCACAAGATTTAGATTTCTAAAAATTTTAGATTGTAAACTAATTAAAATAAAATTAAAATAAAATAGACTTAGTTTACAGTAATAGTGCAAAAAAATGGTATACTCTAGAAAATTAACCAGTTCACTACCTGTCTACCTTAGTGAACTGTATATATGACTGGGCCAAGAAAAATGGAAAACAACTAGTGTATATGAAGAGCAGTTTAGTCTTTTAAGATAAATTCTTAAGAATAATCATGATTTGAGTGATAAAGAGTTTAATTTTTTTTAATTAAAATTTCAGTTATAAATATTATGATTAAAAAAAATAAATTTAAAAAAATTTATCTTCTGATTTAATTTAACTTTAAATTAATCAAAATTTAAAATAATTATCGAACATACAAAACTTTTTTAAAAAAATTCTTAAGAGTAATGGTTATTTTTCGAAAGATTCTTAAAAATACTAGGTACTTTTGCCTGCGGCAAAGCGACAGGTTTGAGTTTTAATTTGTAGGATGACGTGGACTTTTAAATTGCTCGAGTGTTGGAGCGGGTGCGTAGAACAGAGTGTCCCTAGCATTCCCGTTAGAATAGTGGTCGATCCCTCGGGAATTATAATGTTATGTTCACGCAATGATTCCAAAAGTACTACTCTGTTCGTAGTCTCTGTCTGGGGTGCATAGTTGACAGGAGATAGACTCAGGCGGTAGATAGGTTCCGCACTTCGATTCCCGCCCCGTTAGCATCTCCAATCTATTGGCTTCTAGCACACTTGCACTTGGTCATATGCACAGAAGAATGTGTTCCGTAGAGAACTGCCATGGGAGCTTTGCTTCTATTTTCTTTCCGGCCATTTTAAAGACATTTTCCACATGTTTGGTGTATTTAAATTTTCTTTTAGTATAAAAAAAGCTGCAACTTGAAAATAAAAAAAATTAAATGCTCTTAAATTTTCAATTCATTGGATGCTATATTTTAAGAGTGCATGAATGAACTGACTAAAGTTTCTGAGTTAAAAATTTCTTTCTTATTTCATGCCTTGAGCTGTCCATGTATTTTAATTATTATATCTTTTATTTGGCTAGATCTAAGCTGTTAGGTATTCATGTTTCACAAGGAAAGCTGTTTGGATGTATTCTGTTTAATTTCCTGTTGTCACTATTACTAATGGTTATGAGTTTCATGTTTGTGGAGGTAGTAAATCCAATTGGGAACTTCTCAATTTTGGAATTTTGAACAATTTAAACGTGAAACAAACTGACTTGTATTGATTCCGACATGAAAATTATCGAGCTTGACTGTTTGTGTTTTAGTTTATTTTCATGTATTTTATTATTATTATTATTATATATATAAAGTTAAAACTAAATTCAAGCTACCAAATGCAGAAGTATACAATAATAATATCGAAAATTAAAATTCTGTTTTAATTTATGGATAAAAGATATAATGCTTGGTTTTGTCTTAAAAATACCATGTTGAAATATTTTCAAAATTTAGTGAAAGAATGAAAGATAATTGGTTAAACTCAGTGTGTTAATCAATTTAAATGAGAAATTAGTGTTCAAAAAGCTATAAAATAGTTTAGAAAATGTTTCATATCAAGAAAATCGATTTAAATCATGACAAGATCAATTGGAGAGGCTTCCAATGTAAGACATTTGAATGTCCATTCATAGAATTAAAATTCCATAAGTTTTATATACACTACACATCTGGATGCCCAACCAATAACATTATGATAACATGTCTAGAACCACAAAATCCGAATGCCCAACCAATAGTATTAAGGAAGGATTTTCCGTGAGTCAATACTCCCAACTTTACTAGTGTTTCAACGTTCAAAGCATGCATTAAGAATCACTGGTGCTGAAAATGGCCATAGAATGTAGTATAAAGCAGAAATCCCTTGTAAATCCAATCAGATTTGATCGAGGTGAACCTTGGGTTTAACCCAAATGGTTCACCTACTTCCAAAGGTGGATTCTCATAAAATTGAGATTCCCATCCTCCAAGCATAGGAAATGTAAAGCCCAAAACATAGCACAAATTAAATTCTTTGGAGAATTTTTAACTTTAATGGTTCACCATTTGGCAAACCAGCACAATCACAATATATTTGGATTTCTTCAAGTCCACCTGATAATTAAGCTATTTGAAGATTACCATAAACCAGTGATAGTTCCTGGGTGGGTCTAAAAATTTGCACTGTTTAAAGAGTTTACTTTTCTTTCTGAATTTGATGATCATTAGATCATCATCCCAACTCTATCTAGTTTTTGTTTAGTCTGCTTATAAAAGTTTTTGACAAAATAAAAAAAGCAATGCAATCAGAGTTTTAAATCCTAAGACATTAAAGTAGCATAAGAGCTAAATATCTAAAAGAAATAATTCATGTACACTTTGTGTTTATTAGAGTTCAAATCAAAAGGTCAAGAACAAAACAATGGCTAAGGTCTATTATTTCTCTAAAGAAAAATTGGGTTATATATTAAAATTAAGTCGATAATAATGATTAGCAGTTAAGCTGGTTTCTTCTTCGATTTTGTTTATAGTTCTTTACCTATAATTTAAGAAAAATCTAGTAAAGCAAATGGAAATTTAGAATTGTTTTCTTTAGCTGTTGAAACCAAGTCACTAATAATGTTTAACACCTAAATTGATAAAAGACAAAATGATCTAATTGTCCATAAGTTTAGCATCCTCTTTTGCAGTTTTTGAAACTTGAAAATCTACAAGAAACCTTCCTCCTAAGCAGACGAAGTTCACTAAGTAAAAGAAAATTTGGCAGAATAAATAAGCTTTAGTTCATGTTAAGTATTCCATGATATGCATGTTGCTAGATGGTAAAACTATCATATCTATCCTTTGTTCTAAGGGATAATATGCCATCTGTAGAGTTATTACATGTGCATGTATGGAAAACACAGCTGGATCTGCTTTTAGCTTCATTGTAAGAAAAGCAATCTCAATTCTCATTTTATGGTCATGCTCGATTGTAAAAAAAAGCTGGATCTGCTCTCAGCTTCATTGTAAATATCATAACTTTAGGAACAAATTTATTATCATTTTCACCAATCACCTTTGGACCAAAATGGTTCAAATTAAACATGTAAAACAATTAGGAAAAAATTGATAACAAAATCCAATAAGAAGTTCCAAACTACAAACATAATTATCTTTTGAAGACTTGAAGGAGATTTTAAGAAGCATATGAGCTGGCACTTTGGAGAGCTCCCATTGGCTATAAAGAGGACTTTTTGGTGTGGCAAAAATGCATGAAAAGAAGCTTGCAAACCAGTGAAGAGTTTTAAAGCCAAACAGCCATGCACCAAGTGCAGAAGCAAGGAGAAAAAAAGTCTCTCGAAGCTCACCTCATTGTAGATATTTTGGAGAGATTTTTTTAAGGTTCCATTCACCACTGACCTGCCTATAAATAAGAGTAGAGTCAGCCATTTTAGAGAGACTTTAGCTTAGGATTTTATTTTTCTTGATCTTTAATTTTTGCAATTTTCTTTACTGCATTTTACTTTCTTAGCAACCAAACAGCCCTTGATCTTCATGTTTTTCTATTGATTTTGATTGCACTTTTACATTTCCTCAAATATTTTTCAGTTTTCTTTATGATTTTGGCAATGAAACTTGCAAATTTTATTATTTGCTAGCTCAAATCTACTGATTTTTCGTTGATACTTAAATCTGTTTTTTAATCTACCAGTTCTAACCTACCTGCGGTTTTTTTATGATATCTCACTCCAATCTTACTTGTTTTTGCTCAAATTTTTTTCATAGTTTCCTAATTCGATTAGCTACAAGATATTAAAAATTAAGTCTCAAACTTGTACCAGAGTTCCAGATCAAGCTTGGAAGATTCATCTGGATACAGGTGACAGGTGTAGGTCAGATGTGATCAATTAATTTTGGAGTGGAACTGCTCTCTCCTTGGCGAGTTGTTTGCCTTCTTTTCACTCTAAATCCTTAGTTTTACTTGTTTACTTATTGATTCTTACTTGATTTAGTTTATTTCTTTACATTTGATTGCTGTTTGGATCACATTTGTTGTGCATATTCAGTTTTTTGCATTTTTGCACCCTGTTTGGATTCTTAGCTGGTTGAGCTTTTTCCTTTATTTTGATGCAAATTTTTTTGTTGAAATTTGTAGTAAACTTGTTGTTTGATCTTGCTTTAGCTTAGTTTAAGCTCATATTCATTAGAAAATTCTAGATCTACATTTTTCTCTTGTGATTCATTCAAAACTCTGCTTTGGCACCACTTCTGTTTGGATGAACTTGATTACTTCATGCCATTTCTCTTCAGTTTTTGATATTCTCTGTAGTTTCTCATCTTATTCTTAAACTGTTTTTCCAATTTCCAGCTCATTTTCAACTTATTTTGCACACTTTAGATCCATATCATAAGTTGAAGTTTAGTGTTCACGATTTCCGAGCAGTTTTGGTCTTGCTATTTTTCATCAAAACTTGCACTTTCTTCTTAGCTTTTAATATTCAATTAGGTTTTCTTGTAGTCTTTTTCATGCTTTTCAATATTTAGATCATATTCATCTAGTTTTACATGAGTTAGATTTAGAACTTTCTCTTAAAAACCAGTTTTTCTAGCTTTGAAAATGATCTACGATTTCTATTTTTTTCTTTATAATTTGTGGGTTTTTTTTTATTCTCATTTGAAATTTGATGTTAGCTTGTCATGCAATTTTTGTTCATAGTTACCTTCTTACTCTCAGTTTTTTTTTTTTTTTTTGCTTTGAATTGCATTTTCAACTTTTAATTTTCACTTAAATTCCATTTTATTCTTAGTTAGGCTGCTGTTCTCTTTAAGTTTCAAGGTGTTTTGATTAATTTCTTAGATTTAGTTATTTTACTTAGTTTACATAATGCATTGCTTTGTTTGATTTTATTCTTTTAAAATAGCTTAATTCTCATGTTGATTCTTTGATCGAACCAACTTTAGAAGGGTATGGGGATAACAGGTACTTAGCTTAGGAATGTCTTTAACTAATCCTCGTGGGATTGCCATCTAGGCTTTTTATCTCCTATTATTACTTGAACGGCCTGCGCACTTGCAGAGCTTCCCAAATCACATATAACATTGAAAAATAGAAGGAAAAATAAATTTGATCATTGATGTGTTAGTTCTCTGATTTAGTTATCACATACTTTTCTTAGACAGGTACACTGATCACTAAATGTGCATTTATTGGAGGCATATTTACCATGTGATATAAACAATTGGTTCAACACAAAATAATTAAAGAGTTGCATATTCCAAATTAATGCAACACCAAAAATGTAAAAAATACTTGAATTTTAATCATTTCAACTAAAGTGATGAAAGTAGAAGGTAGAAAGTAGGAAGCAAGCTTAGCTATTACATCTCCTTGCCTACGTTTGAGGGCAATGGAAGCTTTGTCAAAAATGTTTCATCAATTTTCTTGCATTGCGTTTGAATGATTATATATGTTACAGAAAGTTTCTCATTGATGCAATGCTAGTTCTTATCATATACTAAATGAACTGCTTTACTAAACATAACTCCTAGAAAACACATCTAACAAAATAAGCATATATGCATAAAGTTAAACGAATCATCATTGTATAGAAACGAATAAGGTCTTATAACTCACCAATACAGACAAGAATACGAAAGTTGAAAATATTACCAATTTTATGATACTAACCATATGTCAATAGCAACTTGAGTATCATACGTATTAAAACTTTTGCAAGGAAAAGACATTTTAAAATTTTATATTAAACTAAAGGAAAATGATCTGATAGAAAGGCAAAACTTAACTTTAACAAAAAGTTTCTAATTTCTGCCAATCGCAATTGTTATGTGCAATCAACAATACATAATTGATCCATGCTTTAACTTATCAGCTATCTTCCCAATAGTTTTCTCAAAAATCCTTGTTCATACTTGTATTTCAATTTTGAATCCTTTGCATCGTTCAAGGTATGAAAGAGGTTGTATTTTCTTTAGTAATAAGGTTCTAAATAAATCCTTAAATATTAACTTCAAATAAGAAAATATCCATATGAAAATGAGGAAAATACTAATAATTTAAAAAAGGGAAACAAGAAGAAAGATAATCGACCTTCTTAATGTAGGTGATAACATGAGTTTCCTGATCACTCTTTCTCTGCCTACCTCTCTCAGTCTTCTTTAATGTTTATTAATTTTTCCCACCAACTACCCTTTCTTTTCAAAGTAATGACCTCCACCAACTCCTCTTTCTTTTCAAACAGAGGAACAGGCAATGAACAAAAGTGGATGGCACGTGAATACGCAATGAGCTTTTTTTTTTTTTTTTTTTTACAAAATTTGATATATATATTTATATGTGCATAATTTTAATAAATAAATACCCTGGTTTCATATCTTTTTTTCCTAATCGAAATACCATATAAAAATTTAAAAAAACAATTAAAAGTAAAAACACTCACATCAAGCAATTGGAGGTTAATGTCAGCATCGTCTATAACAGCCTCAAGCGAGTCGGGTATCCGATATTTGAGCTCCCTGAACTACCTTTAACGGGTAGACTAAAGCAAAATCATAAATAAAAAATTAAAAAATTAGACAACTTTTTGGAAGATAATTGCAAGTGTTATCAAACATGTTAAATCTAAAAAAAAAAAAAATTGATCAAAAAGTAAGAAAGAAAAAAAGAACCTTTGCCATGTCCTGATTCAACAAGCTACATCGTTTCTTCTCATTTTCCCCCCATTTTCACCCATAACTTTTCTTTTTAGGCTTCCTCCCACTTCCTTTTTTCTTGAAGTCCGAAGCATCATATACTCCCTTTCTTTAACTAAAACCCTTTTTGTTTTTAGAGAGAGGGGTGAAGTTTAGACAGACAAGGAAAATTTTTAGAGAGAGGTGAAGAAGGTTAAAGATAGAACACAGATTTTTAGAGAGGGGGAGAAGGCTTGGGAGAGGGAAGAATTTTAGATAAAAAGATAATAGATGAGAAGGTTGGAGCATAAAAATGAAAAAAAAAAAAAAAAAAAAAAAAACAAAACGTGAGTAAAAAATATTGTTAAAAAATTAATCTATAATATAAAATGAAAAAGAGAAGGACAAACTGACACATGGACATCTTAGTTGGTGGTCATAGTTAGGTTGGAATTATTAAAATTTATTGTAAAGATGGATGGATATGTAAATTTAAATTCTTAGACTAGAAAAATATTTTAATTATTTGATAATAAAAAAGATAACTAAAATATATGGTTCAATAATATAAATTTTTTAATTTAATTTTTTTGTATAATTGTATCATTACTTGTTTCTTGTAAATTTAATAAATTGTAAGTGAAAATTTTTTAATGATGAAATTAAAAGAAAATCACCTGATTTTTTTTTAATTCTTAAATGAAGAATTTTTTAAAAATCCTACCACAAGTATTGGAAAGACTTTAAAAGTACTTCAACAAAAAGATTTTTTATTTACTTTTTAACAAAATATTTATTAAATAATTGAAGAAATTTTATTTGAAAAATAAAGACAAAGATAGTTAAAAGAAAAAAAATAAAAATAAATGTTTAGTACAAGCAAAAATAAAAATAAATATTTTTTAATAAAATATTAAATTAATATGACAATAGAACTTTTCAAGAAAATAAGTGATTTTTTAAATATTCTTAAGATGAAAATTTTTTTAAAATTATACCAAAAGTACCGCAAAGACTCGAGATCATTTTGTATTTTAAATAATCAATTAAATAAAATAAAAGTAATACAACAAAGAAAATTAAGTGTAAATGATCATTTTAATTAAGATAATTTTAAGATAATATAAGATTAATTGATATCATTTTAAGATGATTATTGTGAAGTATTAATAATTTTTCACGTATGACTGACTCTCAAATCTTATTCTATTATATGGATCAAAATTTTTTTTTTTAAAGAACCTTAATTAAGTTTATAATTTTTATAAAAATGATAGATTTAATTAGATAATCATTCACACATAATAAAAAAATTAGTAGTGATCATTTAACAATCGAGTTTTTGGACTTACATGATATGATAGTTTAACAACTCTATTTGAGACATTTGGACAGTTGAATTAGTCATTAGTAAAATATTATCCTAAACTCTAATTTAGAAGTTTTAATTATTATTTAATTTGATTTTTTTTCATGTTTATTAATTCATTTATTTATTATCGTTGTTATTCTTTTTATTTCTTAGTGTTTTATTTAATTGGAGGCATGTGTTAATTGAGCCTATACCCCTCGACTGGAATGTTCTTATTTCTTAACGTACATGATTGCAAGTTAAACAAATGCCATTTTAACTTGGCTTTGAGTAAAGTAATATTTGTCGCCCTACAGAGATCATACACAAACTACTTTTATTTAAAGCCCATTCGGCTGATATATTCCTTTATTTTGGCATCAATTGCAAGCAACTAAGCCTTTGATTTTATTAGTAACTAAAGTAAATTAATTTTTGAAAATTTTGAAAGGAGTAGGAATTTAGGCTTCATTTTTTTTTTATTGAAATATAGTGTTTTGAAAGCATATTTTGAAAAATGAACTTATTTTTTGAAAAATTTTTTACTTTTGTTGTTTGGATGATTTTGTGAAAAATATATTTTAGTGTTTAGATTTTTTTTTGAAAAATCAATATTTTCATCAAAATAATGTTCTTGACATAATTATTAAAATAATATTTTTATACTTATTTGTCGTAATGATTTTGGGGACCGTTAAATGAATCTTGGTAAAAAATAAAAAGTTACTATCAATATTTTTTGGCTAGGTACAATTAACCACTTATTAAAACATATATTTTTAATAAAATTTTAAAATTAATTAAAATTTAATAAAAAGATAATTTTAGCATTTGCGAAACATTTTAGGTAAGGAATCAATCACGCATGAAGAATGATTAACACCCTTATAGTACCTTTTAAAAACGATACAAATTAATTATGTAATATCATTTAATCCCAACAAAAATGTATTAATTTTGGTATTTATTAATAATTTCCCTACTTCTTTTATTAGTTGCCATTTTTGGTTTTTTCTTCTTTTTTGTTTTGTTATTATTTTCTTTAGTGTTCTATTTTATTAGAGAAAAGTAAATTATAACTTTTCTATTGAAAAAACTTTTAAAACATCCTTAGCATTGGTAACATTGAAATAATTTTTCGTACCTAAATATTTCTTAAGCATCATTACTCGGATTACTTGAAAATCCAATCCGTAGAGGCTTGTGTTTATTTTTCAAAAAATAATGGCATGCATGCAATAAAAATAATGAAATATTAATACACATATTTTATTTACCCTCTTTATGAGAAAAATTTGTTTATTACCTTTTTAAAATTTTTTTAAAAGAAAAGGGAAGTCTTTATTATATTAAAATTATTTTATAAATACTTCAATATGCTAGCAGTATTTAAAAAAAAAATCTTTTCACCTAAAGATTTCTTAGATATCATTACCCAAATTACTTTAAAATCTCATCATCTGAAGGTTGCATCTATTTTTTCATGGTTTAATAATTTACATGCAATGCAAATAATAAAATATTGGCATGCATATTTTATTTGTAGGTTTATATTTTATCTTCATTTATTATTTTTTTATAAATTATTTGCCTCTTTTTGAGAAAATTTTGTTTATTATTTGTTTATTTGTTTTTCACCTTTCGTATTCTTTTTTGTTATAGAAGAGAAGTGAAAATAATTTTTTGTATTGAAAATTTTTTATAAATACTCCAATAAGCTGGTGGTATTTAAAAAAAATTTTTTACGTAGAAATTTTATAGAAATCACTACACGAATTTTCTTAGAACCTTATCATCGGATAAAAATTTTATTTTTCTCATTTTTTATTATTTTTATTTATTTATTTATTTTTAAAGAAATGGTGAATTTAAAATTACTTAAAAAAGTTTAAATTTTATTTTCATTTTTTAAAAATAATAAATATTTATTTTTAAATTTAAAATTTTAAACATATATAAATAAATGAAAAAATAACCTAAAAAGTTAAAATAATAAAAAAGTAATAAAAATACCAAAATACAAAAAAAACTTAACTAGGTCGGTCAATGGTCTAAAGCGGGTTGGTTTGGTCTGGATAGTTTTTTAGCGATTTAGAGCAATTTTTTGGCAGTTCAGGTGGTTTGGCAAGTTTAAATCAATTTTTTAGCAGTTTAAAGGTGGTTCAATTGAACGGTCAAAAATGGTTAAGGGAATTAGGAATCGGGTTGGGTGTGTAGGTATAGAGTAAAATGAAGGGTACACATGTAGATCTCCCCACCAAAATGATGTCGTTTTGTCTTCTTTTTTCTAGATATAAAAGGATTAACTTTTTTAGTTCATTTCATTCTTTTCTTAAAAAAAAAAAGAAAAAAGAACTCCCTAAAAAATTCTCTTAACTACAATCCAGACAAAGGCCAACTGCCACTGTCCTCGTCATGCCATCACCCTCGCTAGTGATCAAAAATTGGCTAAAAATACCAAAAAATTACTCTTGACCCCATCTTCCCTCTTCTAACCTTCTTTTCTTGAAAAACAACCTTTAAGTACCTAGATCTACCCTTAAATATTTAGCCATAAAGCCTTTTCTTTTTTTTTTCTCTAATTTCTTTCTATTGGTTAATGTTTCAAGGCAGTGTTTCCCATTCCAAGGGATGGTTTTTTGTTTATTTGGTTGATTTTTGAGTTTTTTTTTGTGTTAACATGGTGGTTTTTAGGGAGGCCAAATGGGTGCATGTATCTGTGTGTGTGTGTTTTTTTTTTGTAGGTTTTTTGGTGGTTTTTAGTTGTAGGCAAAATGGGTTAAGAGATGGAGCTTTCTGGTTGGGTTAGTGGTCAAGGTTTGTGGGTTATGGTGAAGGGTCATTTGATATTTCGTAGGTGGCCTTTGTCAAGGTTGTGGTGATCGTTGGCGAATAGTGGTTGAGGTTGGCAAGGGCTGTTAGAAGCTTGATTATGCTTTTATCGATCAAAATTTCTTTTAGGTAGTTTGGTTGATAATGAATGGTTGCTGAATGGGAATGCTTGAGGCTTTTTGGGTATGATTCAGTTGAAAATAGGAAGGGTGGAGATCATAATGATCATTTGGGATGGTAGGAAATTGATTGACCATGGGGTATGGTAGGGGAAGTTGGAGTTTTGAAAAAAATTTTTGGTTCCCCCTTCTTTCGTGCCTAAATCCCTTTGTGTCTCTATCACCCTCTTCAGTTCTGTGCTAATTTCCTTCTTTTTTATTTATAAAACCAAGATTATCCTTTTTCACATGTTTGTTATAATTTAATTTGGGTTTGAAAAGTAATTGAAAATCTTGGATTGTTATATGTTGATTTTGGGGTAACGAGTTGATATTAATTAGTGTTAAGTTACTACAGGTAAAAAAATGAAAGGAAAAAATATGGTAAGCTAAAAATGGGTATGGGGATGAAGTTCTGACGTGCATTTAGGAAGGGAAGGTTGCCATGGCAATTGACCCTTTTTGTTTTTTTTCATTTTTGTTTTAATTTAATTAATTTTAATGAAATTGGGCTTTTAACTATGCTTTAGGCTTTCATTGGGTTTTTCAAGCCCAAATGACTTGAATTAGGCTTTAAGTCTAATGGAATTGGATTGGGCCTTAAAAATTGAGTTTGGACTCATAGTTAAACTTGGAATCTTTTAATCAAACATTCAAATCTTAATTCAAAATTGACCCAATAACGAAATTAAATTAGACTCGAGTCCATGCAAAAGTATCTAGAAATGATCAACTCGAAACAATCTTACATTGAGCTTGATTAGATAAATCCAATTAAAATGCTTAAGTTAGCCCAAATTGAAATGTTAAAGTTTAGCATATAATTGAACAAACTCAAATTGACCTGTACAAAAATTAGGTGTCTGCAGTTGTTCCTTTTTGCACACTAAGAATCAAGAATAGGGTAAATACATAGACAACTATTTTGTCTGGAGTCAATGATTCGATAATTTAAAAAAATTTTTTTTCAAACTTTGTT